GTGGTCTTCCTTCCCTTAGCCAGCCTCTTAGTGAGGTTAAAAAAACAGCTCCTACCAGCGGTGTTCCTTTTCTTCTGTCTGAAACAATATAGTCTCCAGCCCTAGCTCTACCTGCAGGCTACGCTTCCACAAAAAGCCTTTTGTTGAAATGTGGGCCACTCAGGGAGGGGGTGCTGGCTCGCTGCCAAGCTTCCTTTTCATTTATCAAACCCTCCCAGCTCTCAGGTGTTAGACTCTTAGTACTTGAAAGATTTTTTTTTTTTTTTAGGTCAGAAGTTACTGTGGGAGAAGGTGAGGGTTTCCAGTGTGTCACCGAAGTGTGTCACTGAGATGATTAGCCACACCTGGAAAGAGCCTTAACCCACCAGACCCCTGGCACGTGTTATGCAGCGCTTTGGAACAGCCAGGGCATCCCACCCAGGTCTGAATGAGTCAGGCCATGTTGAGAGCTATCTCTAAGTGCGTCACAGAAGCCTCCTTGTCTGATCCTAAAATATCCTAAATATCTATATAGGTAACATCCAAAGGATTCTACCCCCACCCCAGTGCATTGTCCACGGTCTCTCTAAAGGAAGCAGGAATTAGAGTAAGGCTTCCTTTCTCCCTCTTTTCTTCCTTCCCTCCATCATCTGTTTCCTTGTTATACTTCACTGGGCTATAATTTCAGAGCATGGTAAACTGATTGGACTCTGCCTCAGAGTCAATGGTGGCCACCAGGGAGTGGAGGGGCTGGGCAGAGAATTTGAGGATGAGTCTACAACCCACAGGGAAGGACCTGGGAGAAGTAGGGCAGGTGGAACCCGAGCGCTGCCCGCGGACTGGCTGTAAGGTCACATGGCCCTATGGGGACCCCGGCACCTTTCCCGAGTGCTATAAAGGGAGATAACACACAGGACAGATAACACGCTGATGGCGCAGACATGCTGTGGCCACTGTGTGTGCTGGGCTGGGGGAAATCTCCCCTGAATAAGTGCAGAAATGTTGTCCTCAGTGAGGCCACAAGGGCTCCAGGTGACCTCTTCCCTCCCGAAATGCACGCATGCATTCCACATTCCTGGTGAGGCAGCCAGGCACTGAGGCAGGGCTTGTCTCAGCCATGCAAAATCTGCAGTACCAGCCAGCCTGCAAATGACTGCAAAGGGTCACCATCGTGTAAGGTTCAGGTGAGGTACTCAGCATGAACCTTAAATTCTAACCTGACAATCAGTCAACTCCTACCCATGTTTCAGGCTTCTGGGTTGAGAAGAAATAAGAAAACAAAGCAAAACAAAACATAAAAACGACCTCAGGAATACTGGCAGCATTGGCTGTGAAGCTGGGTGGCTGGATCCAGCGAGGCATTTTCAGAGGAGTATCTGGGAGTCTTGGGAATAGTATTGAAACATGGCTCCCAGTACCCATGGTGGGAAGTTCACAACCACCTGGAACACCTCAGGTCACTATGGGCACTGCACTCATATGTACACACAACCCTACACACACACACACACACTAAAAAAAATTCTTTAAAAATATCTCTAACTATGGCTCAGTTTAGAGTACTTGCCTAGGAAAATAAGGCTCTGAGATTGTTATCCAGCGTTACAAAATAAATCAAATAAAATATTAAGTAAAACGAATCAGCAGCCCTAGCTTCTTTGAAGGCTAAGGTGGGAGGATTATTTGTGCCTGTAACCTAAAAGTTCCAGATCTGCCTTCGAGAGCCCATGCCAAGAAATAAAATCAGATCCTACACTGAGCACAAAAGACAGCCCAGGTGTCTCCCCACCCACACTGAGACTTCTCACCGTGCTCTTCAAGGCCCCATGGAAGCCGGTGGGCTTTCTCCTTCCTCTCAGTTCTGGCGTTCCCGAGCCGGCTGTGTCGTTTGTGCCCCGTGGTCGTCTCCGCTGTCTTCACCCCTTTGCTCACCTGCTTCAACCACCCAGGTTCCTGCTCTTTTCCAAACACTCCCATCTCAGAGTTCTGCTGCTTGTTTGTTTGTGTGTTTATGGGTATGGATACTTTGCCTGCGTGTATGCTGGCACCAGGTGCATGTCTGGGGCTGGCAGAGGCCAGAAGAGGGCACCAGAGCCCCTGGAACAAGTGAAAGACAGTTGTGAGCTGCCCTACAGGTCCTAGGAACTGAATCCGGACCTCTGCAAGAACAGCAAGTGCTCTTGATGGCCGAACCATCTCTCTGCTCCCTGCTGTTTTTTAAGGTTTATTTTTATTTTATTTATATGTCTGTGTCTATGCGTGTATCTGCCACAAGGGTGCTGGTGCCTGAAGAGGCCAGAAGAGGGTGTCCAGCCTCCTGAGACTGGAGTTACATGTAGTCCTGAGCTGCCCAATGTGAGTGCTGGGGACTGACCTCCACTTTGGGTCCTTAGGAAGAGCAGCCAGTACAAAGCCATTTTTCTTCAGCCCCTACACCGCTGTGATCTCTGCCTAAAGGATTCTTTTCTCCTCTTCCCAGATATCTATAAAACTTGTCCTCAGATCCTTTGCTGTACAGTCGAATTCTTCCCTTGATTTAGTGGCTCAATCCAGAGGACTGGAATGAGACGGAAGTAGAGGCGTGGAATCTTAGAGGCTACTGCACATTTCTGCATATTGCCCTCCTCTGGTGCTTTCTGGCGTGACTCCCACAAGGAAACCCAAGTGCCCCACTGTAAGGACATTCTTGCAGTTCGGCTAAAGGGATGGCTCTTGGCCACGGGGTTGTGATTCACCCTGAAGATGCTGCTCCTGCCCCAGCCACACCTCCTCATATCTGCCTTTCCTGTCTTCACTGCGGCTGCAGCCTTGGGAGAGACCCCCAAACCAGAACCACCCAGCTAAGCCACTCCCAGAAACTGACCTCCTTTGTGACCTCCAGGAACTGTGGGAGACAGTAAATCTATTGTTTTCAGCTTCTTTGTTTGGGGGCTCTAGGTTAAAAGGCAGTAAAAGCGTGGCTTCCTCATTCCCAGCGAGTCTGTGCCACTGCACTGCCCGCCGGTGAGACACCTCCACTACTCGCCCCATTAAGAACAATCCTTCTCCACCTGCTATTCTGCATAGCTTTGTCTCCCCACTGAATTCTATAAGCCAATGTTTGCTGGTGAATAACCGGTGTTCACTGCTGCTCTAATTCTCCTGTACTCAGGGATTGGATGGATCTGAAGCACATCCAAGTTTTGTTTTGTACTGTTTTGTTCTCCGAGATCAAGCCTCATTGTGTAGACCAGGTTAACCTGGAACTTGTTATGTAGCTCAGGATATCCTTGAACTCCTGCGCTTTAACCTCCCAATGGGGCTAGGATTATAGGCCTTTGCTACTGTGCCTCGCTTCGTTCAGTTTTAAAATCTCATTTTGATGCTGTTTTAATTAGAGGTCCATCGGATGTCCCTTTTCTCACTGTCTCCGGCTGGGGAGGAACACCAGCTTTGGATCAGGCAGCCCCTCTCCCAAGACCAGGCGTGATCTAGAGACAAGCACCTTGAAGTCATACTTGACAGACCATCAGTTTTCACGGCTTTGGTTCAGCCGAGCAGGCTCCAAAAGACACAAATGGTGGCTGTCCCGAGGGAGAGCTAATCTGATTGTCCTTGGTGCCAGGACATTCAAGGCTGTCATGGGTGGCAAGCCCGAAGTCATGTGGCACCAGAGGGGCAGCTGAATCAACAGGCCCTTTGCAAGCTCATACAGGACTCAGCCAGAGACCGAAGGGAAGAAGGAATAGGCAACGGGCAGGCAGGGAAGGCTTTGCTCGGGGAAGAGCTGTTAGCAGGCCTGGGGTGGGGGGTTCTAGCCCTGTGTGAGGGCCTGCCTGAGTTCTTAGAATGCCCAGGGCTCGCCTCGATTGTGCAATGCCCACTGGCAGTTCTCTGCCCCTTAATTGGACATGCCTTGGTTCCCTTCCAGGGAATGACTGGTTTATCATGACCCTTTGACCAAGAGAGCCCCCACCCAAGACGTGGATGACTGCAATGTCCTTGGGACAGTTCCTTTATTGATCTGCACAGGGCCCTCCCTGGCATCACAAGACCAAGTAATAAAAGCATTCTCCAAGTTCACAGCATGTGTGTTCTCTGGGTGACAGGTGAGCGCAGGGAAGAACTTTGAACTTTGGGCACATCTGGGCACTTGCCCCCGTGCAGGCAGATGAGGTGGTCAGTTCAGCTCTGGGCTTCAGTTCCTTCACCGAGTCAAATGGTCTGCTAGATCCCCATGCACTATGGTCCCGACCTGCCCAGGGAATTGGAGAAACACAGTAGGGAACCACGGGCTGCAGGTATAAGGCAGGGACTCTGCAGAGCCAATTGGGCGCTCAGTGCTGGTATTAGTCTCTTGTGAGAGACTGCCTTGCTAAGACACTCAGTGCTCAGAGCACCCTCACTGTGTGAAAGCCCACATCTGGCCCATGAGACAAGGGCCCCCCTCCCCTCCCATGGCTGTGAGCCTCCCCACGAACCCCCATTTCACTTTTCCTATTCCACCAGTCTCAAAGCCCGGATAATTCTCCAACCCTCTTAGACCCCTGCTGTGATTCCTTTCCTCACCTTTTCTTACCAAGCTGAATTTATCAGAGGGAAGCTAGCAAGAATGGAAGGCTTCCAAGGAGACAGGAAGTTAGTGAGAAAAAACGTGGCTGGGAAAGTCCCCAGAGCTCTGGGTGCCTCCGTGCTTGGGTCCAGAGCACACTTGACTCACTTCTCACAGCAGCCTGACCTCTGGTGTGGAAATTAGCACAGTTGGATACTTGTCAACTGTCACGGGGCAGGTTACAAATAGCACGGGGATTAGCAACCCCATCAGAAACTCGCGGTCAAGGTCAGGGAAAGTTAACAGTTTAATCCCTGGAGCACCAGGAAGGGTGTTTTATGGCTGCGTGCACATACATATATTGCCTGGACAGGACAGGGTGACACACTTGATGGGGGATCCACTTCAGTCTAAGAGCAAGGCTCTCAGGTTGAACGCTGGAGTTCTAGATCCCCTGTCTCGCTTTCTAGCCGGCCCAGGTGTTCCCACACCCTGTTGTAGAAAGCTCTCTGCGGGGCTCTAGCTCTGGTGACTCCCACGTCAAGGTCTCAGAGCAGTAGAAGGGCCATCTCTGCCTTCTGAGTGGCAGTGGCAGCGGACGGCGGGATCCGGCTCAGCCGCGGATTGGGGTCCTAGGCTTTCTCTGTTGCTCTCTCCTGTTCTCAGCTCTTCCGCAGCTCCAGGAGCTCGACACCTAGGCTGCAAAGAAACCGGTGCCCCTCCCAGCTGCCCGCCACGTAGCCCCGGCTGCCAGGGGGACAATCTCAACTCTGGTACCCCCAGCTCGGTGGAGCGTACCAATCTGCTTCTCCACCCCACCCCCGTCCCTCTCGTGCACCGCCAAGTCTTACCGCCCCTAGTTCTGCGCTCGGGCGCTTTGCGCCCAGGCCCCAGGAGGGCAACACCCGGCGACGGCCAGCTCCCACCGGTCAGCCCTGCCCTGCCCCGCCCGGCCGCCGTGCCCGCGGACCAGGCACCGCCCGGCCCTGTGCACACGGAGGCGGCCCTTCTTCCGCGCCCGGACGCGCAGAGGGTGTGCGTGGAAGCCAGGCGTGCGGCGGAGAGTCCCAGGATCAGCTCAGGTAAGCGGCACCCCGGGAACTGCTGCAACTCCCCGCAGACACTTGCTTTTCCTGGCTTGGTTTTGCCAGCTCTCCCGAGCTTTGGAAGCAGAGAGATGCTGTTGATTTGGGACTGACTGACTTTTGGAAACATCAAAGGAGTGTTTATGAGCGGATTTGGCTTTGTGGGGTTGACTCTAGAAAAGTTTTAGGTAGAAAAGGTTCAGTTTCTTAGGTACTTTTCCATCTATGTGAATGTCCCTAGGGAAGACGTGTTTTAAATTAGTGCGATGCTTTAAGTCTTCCGTCCTCACAGCATCTTTATGGAATGTGACTTTTCCAAGTTTGAGAAGAAAGCTTACTTCATCCGTTTCCTTTTTTCCCCTCCACTTCCTTCTGGTTCTATTGCACTTTCCCTGGGAAAAATTACTTTTCATGATGGCTTTAACCGATTACTTTCTTTACCCAAACTCACCTTCTTACCTATGGTTTTGGTTTGACAAGAAGGTCTCAGCCATGAACTCCTTCCTGTGATCTTGAATGTGAATGGCAAAGTACGTTTTAAAGTTTTTAAAAATTATTTTTGCCTGCATGTATGTCCGTATGTGGATACCCTGGAACTGGAGTTACCGATGGTTGTGAACGGCCATGTGGTTGCTGGGAATTGAACTCTGGTCCTCTGGAAGAGCAGTTCAGTGCCCTTAACCACTGAGCCATCTCCCCAGCGCGATGTTTTAAAGTTTTTTTCTATTTGGATATGTCCTTCCTGACTTTGGATGGTGTTCATGAGTGGTACAGTAAGGGCCCTAACTCTCACTTGCCCAAGCGAAACAAGATCGCTTCAGAGAAACAAGATTGTTCAGAGACCAACGCTGTGTGACTCAGCACACCGTTTAACCATAGCTTAGCTAAGTTGGCATATAATACGATTTTGTTTTATTTTGAGACAAGGTCTCTCTATTACGTAGCTCTCTGGCTGTCCTGGAACTCACTCTGTAGACCAGGCTGACCTCAGACTCAGAGATCCTCCTACTGCCTCCCAAGTGCTGGGATTAAAGGCGTGTGCTACACGCCCAGCTAGTATGAGTATAAAATACTCTCGAAGTATTGGCCTTTTGTGGTTCTGTGAAAGGTTCTTTCCCCGTGTTCCTGCTTTTCCAGGAAGCTTTGTGAGTCTTTAGTGCTTTGTAAGCAAGTGCTTTGCAATGTGTCTAAGCCTCTGTGGCAGTGGGTGGCGCTGTGGCGGAGGGTGAGCCTTAGCCACCTGCCCTGGCCTGTCCCCCTACCAGAAGGCACTGTCTACCTCCACAGTGCGACTGGACTTTACCTGTTGTGCCCGATTCTCTCAGGTCAAGCCAGGGTCCAGAAGCTGAACTGCCAGTGGGGTTGGGGTGTCTCTACAGCCCTGGAGCTTGCATCAGATAGATGAGACATAGAATCACATTTTGACAGAACTAACTTAAAAGTCCACAAACCCACTGCCCTTCTGAACTACCTCTCTGTTCTGTTGAAACTGCTGGCACTGGGTTGTGTGTCCACGCAGCCTTAGCACGAAGTGACAATTGGAAAGCCGCGGGAGTCTTGAATGGGAAATGGCAAGTTAGTAACTAGACAAAAATTTACCGCAATTCTCAGAGCAGTTCTGACTTGATACCGGGCAGCTGTATATCAGATATTCTTTCCATGGCTCTTCCCTTATCTGCTAATTATTATTATTATTATTATTATTATTATTATTATTATTGCCTAGAGACATGAGTTTGTAAGATTTAGAACAGGAAAAATTAAAAAAATCTTTTTATTTTTAAAAAGATTTCTTTATCTCAGAAGCATGGTAGTTGAATTTCCTCTTTTTTGATATATTCATGAAATTATACATTTGGAGTCTTTGAATGCCAGTTCTCCTGACTCATAGGCCAAATCACTGTTCTACAGCAGACCGATTGCATGACGTTCTGCCTCCTAACAGGTCACCCTCCTGTGATTTCTGCAATGGTCAGCAAGAGATCACAGCTGGTTGTAGATACCTGTACCCGCTGTGATTTTGCATTTGTTATTGTTCACAGTAGATACCTGTATCCGCTGTAATTTTGCATTTCTTATTGTTCACAGAGCCTAAAGCTGCGGAAGAGAAGGAAACGTATTTCCCCTTCACGTCGGAGAACAGCTAAGGAGCCTTTTCTTTTCTGGCCATGTCTTCCATAGGAACAACTGAGCCAGATAGGGACCAGAGGGACACGCATGTCAGCAAGCTCATTTTCTTCCTCTTCATCCTCGGTGCCGTCCTGTTGTGTGTGGGAGTCCTGCTCTCCATCTTCGGCTACCAGGCATGCCAATATAATAGGCCCCTCTCACACTGCAGCATGGTGCTAAAGATTGCTGGGCCGTCGTGTGCCGTGGTGGGGCTTGGGATTGTGATTCTGGCCCGCTCCCGGGCACGCCTGCACCTGCGGGAGGAGCAGCGGCGAGGCCACCAGGACCCTGACCAATCCTTCGTCTGTGGGGAGAGCCGCCAGTTCGCCCAGTGCCTCATCTTCGGGTTCTTATTCTTGACCAGTGGCATGCTCATCAGTGTGCTGGGTATTTGGGTGCCCGGATGTGGCTCAGAATTGGGACCGGAGTCCATGAATGAGACGGACATTGGAGAACCAGAGCCCCAGATCTGCAGCTTCCTGTCTCTGCAGATCATGGGGCCGTTGATTGTGCTTGTGGGACTGTGTTTCTTTGTGGTGGCCCATGTTAAGAAGAAAAATAACTTGAGTTCCAGCCGAGATACCTCTGATATGGAAGGGGGACACGCCCACAGTATGGAGCCTGTCCATATCACTGTAGGTGAGTCTCGGTCTTTTGTGCACGGGTTCAAGTCACAGTGGGTGTGGCTTCAAGGCTTCACCAGGCTTCCCTAGGTCTGGTCCAGATTTCTTTTCTCAACTCCACAACTTTCTCTGTCTCATACATGTGCACACACCTGAGCACACAGGTAACCCACCACTAAACACACACACACACACACACACACACACACACACACACTACCATCTTGTGGGAATTCTGCTATCTCCAGCAACACTGTTAACACAGTGGCTCTCAAGCCCCCCTCCCCCCATGCTGTGACTCTTCACAACAGTTCCTCATGCTGTGGTGAGCCCCAACCATACAATTATTTCTTTGCTACTTCATAACAGTAATTTTGCTAGTTATGAGTCAAAATAATGTAAATATCTGTGTTTTCCGATGGTCTTAGGCGACCCTTGTGAAAGGGTCATTGGACCCCAAGGGAGTTGCAGCCCATAGGGGTGGAAGAACAGACAGATTTGTAGACTGTACTATCCTAAGCTAACCACTCTGGTTCATCTGTTTGTGTATATCTATGTTCACAGCGACAACACAAGTATCATAAGAGCTAACACTCACAGGGGATCTAATCCTGCACACGACCCACGCCAAAGAACTTCTTATCTGAGATTCAGTCCTGCTTAAAGTGAGCCATGAAGGCAGATTTACCATCTCCACGTGAAAAGCAGGCTGTCACTTGTCTGCCCTGAGGGCTTCCTTTACAGGACAGTATATAGTTAAAATGAGCATTAATTCCAGTTCCTAGAATTACTAAAAGCCTCCTTGTTTTTTTTTTTTAGATCTAGCTATTGAGACATGGTCTCACTCTGCAGCTCTGGCTGTCCTGTTACTCACTCTGTAAACCAGGCTAGCCTCAAATTCACAGAGATTCACCTGCCTCTGCCTTCCTAGTGCTGGGATTAAAGGCCTGTGCTACTATGCCCAGCTAAGGTTTATTTTATTATTATCATCACTACCATTATTAGTATGTGTGTGTAGGGATATATCCATGTGAGTGGAGGTGCCTGAGGAGGTCAGAGGAGTGGGTTTAATCCCCTGGAACTGGAGTTACAAGCAGTTGCAAGCTGCCTGACGCTGGAGCTGAGAACTGAATTTGGAGGCCCTGAAGGAGCAGTCCATGCTCTTAACCGCTGAGCCATCTCCGCAGCCCAACCACCAATATCCTCTAAAAACCAGTTGAATCCAAAGAGAACCTTTCCAGTTTGTCAGAGTGGTAAATGGGTCAGAGTTCATCCACCATTTCCTCGTAGGAGAGCAGGACTTCATTCATTTTCTGGGCTGAGGCTACAGGGGCAGGGGGCAGGGAGGGCAGACGTTGCCAGTTGGAAGTGTTTCTTCCTCTGGCAAATAAGTGTCCTTAGCTGGTGACAGAGATGAAGGTGCCATCGCAAGGTGTCACAGGCTGAAGGTTTTGTTCCGTGTGAGGCGGCGCTTTAACATTGGACACAAGTGGCCCCATCCTGTCCTTTTTGTTCTCCAAGACAGGTGCTGTTCGGCTTCAGCCGACAGCTGTGGCAGCTGAGCCCAGGGATTCTGGGTTTGCTTAGGGCTATGGTCACTGGCAAGTCCCCTCCCTACAAGGAAGCGACATTCTCTTTCCTACATCCTCCTGGCACTGTCACCTGGTGGTGCCAGCCTATCAGAGTCCGTCCTTCCCCGGTTCTCTGGTAGCAGAGTTACTACCTGTCTAGAACACTCTGGGCAGCGGCCGTGGTGGTATGCCTTGGAAACCTACAAGATTGGGATTGGAAGACAAATTAGAGCTTGTTTCTGGTCCCTCGTTCCTCTTCCTTAGAACACAGGGGTGTTCTCAAGCGAACAGAGACACAAAAGCAAACTTTGTAAAATTTGACTACACCCATGCAGCTCAGGTGGAGGTGGGGCGCAGCGTGGCATATCGCCACATGAGCAGAGTGCTGTATTTGAGCAACTCCACACATTATCTAGCAGCTGGATTCTGATGAATTAAGATTATCACTAGAAAGCAACGGGAGACATCCCTGGGAAGTTGAGGGAGCATGCTATTGACTCTCGCAGATGCGTTAGCTCAGGTGTGCTTGATGAGGCCGACTCCATATTGCCCCTGGAGCACTCAAAGCTCGGAACTAAAGGCCAACTTAAAAAAAATGTGGTAACCTATATGTATCCCGAAAGTTACTATTTCAGCACCAGGCATAGTCACACATGTGTTTAATCCCAGCACTCAAGAGGCAGAGGTAGACAGATCACTGTGAGTTTGAGGCTAGCCTGGTCTACATATAAAACTCTAGGCTACACAGTGAGACCTTGTCTTACAGAACAAACAAAACAAAAAGAAAACCCACCAAAAATAACCAGAACAACAAAAAACTTCCTGGCTTAACCCTTTTTAATTTTCATTTGCTTTTGTGTTCTTTGAGTGTGTGTGTGTGTGTGTGTGTGTGTGTGTGCGCGCGCGCACCTTCATACGTGCACACGTGTGGCGGTGAGAGCTGGTGATGCTGGGCATCTTCCTCAGTCACACTGCATCTTGTGTTTTTGAGATGGGGATTCCAACTGCCACCAAATGGTTGCTAATTTGGCTAGGATGGCTAGCCAATGAACCCCAAGGATCCTTGTGTTTCTATCTCCCCAGAGTTGGGGTTACAGGAACATGTCATTCTGCTCAGGGTCTTACATGGGTGTGGGGATTTGAACTCATGTCTTCTTCTTGTGAGTCCAGAACTGTACTGACTAAGCCATCTCCCAGCCCTCTTTTAACTGTTTTAAATACACAGTATGTACAGTTTATTTATATATATTATATATAATGTAATGTTATATACATATGTATCTGCATTTATATAATATACAGTACATACAATGTAATGTTATTAAATATACTCAAGATACTGTAATACTAGCATCACCATCAGCTTCCAGAATCTTCCCTTCATCCCAAACAAAACGCCTGTTAGACAGGAGTTCAACCCCTTCCCTCCCAACCACAACCTATTCTACTCTACATGGAAGCACCACAGGCCTGTTGCTATCCAGACCTACCCCAGAGTGCACAGGGAGGTTTTGACCTTTCATGGTGTGTGTATTGGAGCAAGACAGAAGTCATTAATTTTGTTTTTGTTTTTTTTCTCATGTGTTTCCCCAGGTGACTCGGTGATAATATTTCCGCCCCCTCCACCGCCTTACTTTCCTGAGTCTTCGGCAGGCACTCGACCTCCTGGGCCTAACGGTTTGCACCACAATGAAAACCCACCTTCCTATTCCAGTCTTTTTAACTATGGGTAAGACTTCCCTTTCTTCATCCCTGGGCCTGTGTCGCCGGTCCAGGTCTCGTCCTGAGTTCAAGCCGGTCTAGCTCTGCTGACATTAAAGTGTCGTGTCTGATGTTATGTCAAGAGTTCCCGCCTTGATTCTCACACTCAGCCAGGAAACCTTGGGTAGCTTGTAGACAGAGTGATGAAGGGTTGCTAGGAAACCCCTGAGCATCTTTATTGGTCCTATTGGACACACCTGTCACACTGACAGCTTCAAGGAGACTGGAGGCCTGTGCTCTATTAACTTGGTTGCTTCAGACGGCAGAAAGGTTCAAAGCTCCAGGGGTCATGTTCAGAAGGATTTCAGTATTCTAATGGAGGAAGTCCTGACCTGGCCTAGCTTGGCCTCTCCATCCATGTTCAGTTGCCCCTGGACCTCAGAGGTTCGAAGAACATTTGAGAGACAGATGCCCCATGCCCTACTTCACATCAAAAGCAGGAAGGAGATTCTTATGGGATAGTCCTGAGGCAGCAAGAACCCAAGACAGACTGAGAACGTAAGAGGAAGGCTGGTCTCAAGAAAGCGGGGGACACTGACATCCAGACCTCAAGAAAGGGGGAGACACTGACCTCCAGAGTGAGTGACAGGGACAGTGAAGGAGGTCACACAGACTAAGGGGAGATGAGGGTTTGCTGCTGATGGAGGGAGCATGAGAACAGACATTGGAGGGAGACTTCCCGGGCTGGGTGTACCGAGAGAGGTGGTACTGATAAGGAACACCTAAGACATGATAGAAGATGTCCAGGCTTGAGTTCCGGGCAGTGCCAGACAGGGACAGG